TCTCTCTCTCTCTCTCTCTCTCTCTCTCTCTCTCTCTCTCTCTCTCTCTCTCTCTCTCTCTCTCTCTCTCTCATCCTCCTCCTCCATGTCTTTGTCTTTACCCCGCTTCTCGTCTTTCTTCATGTCATTGTCCTGAGCTCCTCTGGGCTCTGGCTGCTCCTTCTCCACGTCATTGTCCTTCCGCTGCTCCTCCTCCTTCGCCACGTCATCGTCCTCCTCCGGATCCTCCTCCGCCTCCATGTCATCTTTCTCCTCCACATCTTTGTCCTCCTCCAGCCCCTCCTCCTCCACAACACCATCCTCCTCCCGCTCCTCCTCCTCCTCCACATCATCGTTGTCCCCCCGTTCCTCCTCCTCCTCCACAACATCGTTCTCGTCCCGCTCCTCCTCCTCCTCCTCCACATCATCTTTCTCATCCCACTCGTCCTTCTCCTCCACGTCATCGTCCTCCTCCCGCGCCACCTCTTCCTCGACATCGTCCTCCTCCCGCGCCACCTCTTCCTCGACATCGTCATCATCATCCTCTTGCTCCTCCTCCTCCACATTTCCATCTGCCACGTTTTTTTTGTTTTTTTTTTTTCAAGGGTGACAACCTTGGGATATCATATTGAAATTGGTCGACATCATTGTACTACCGCTCCTCCTCCCCCACGTCATCGTTGTCCTACCGCTTCTCCTCCTCCTCCACATCATCGTTCTCATCCCGCTCCTCCTCCTCCTCCTCTTCCTCCTCCTCCACATCATCATTCTCGTCCCACTCCTCCTCCTCCTCCTCCTCCATGTCATTGTCGTCCTCCCGCCCCTCCTCCTCCACCTCCTCCCGCTCCTCCTCCTCCTCCTCCTCCTCCTCCTCCTCCTCCTCCTCTACTCATTGTTGCCCTCCTCCTCCTCGTCCACTCGTCGTTGTCCTCCTCCTCCATGTCATTGCGACGACTTTATTAAAAAAAAGAAAAAAGGCCCACAGCCTTGGGTTGTCATCGTGTCATTTTTGTTTTTGCAAAGGTCTAAACTTTGATATTTTTTTTTGTTGCCAAACCTTTTTTGTGTATCGAATTAAGTGTTCTTTTCATTTGTCAGGGAGTTTTATTTCCCTTCTGTAAGGAAACTTTTCTTTTTTTTCTTTTGCGAAGGGTAACAGCCTTGATCATCATTGAGCGAACTGGCTCGAGGAAATTGAGAAGTGTTTTTTTTTCGTTAATTACATTGCGTTCCGATTCGAACTTGGGTCTACATTTCAACAGTTCGTGGGTGTACCCATTGAAATAGGCTCCTTGGTGTAAGGGAAGATTTCCCTTCACCAATTAACGAAAATTTTGAAAGTATTTCTTTTTTCTTCCCATTTGGGGATACAAATTAGTTGTGAGATTGCATTTCACTTTCCCAATCTTGCAATTATATATCAAATCACATTGTGTGTGTGTGTGTGTTTTTCGTTTTTTCTTTTACCTATTTCGAATTCGGCGCTTTACGTTTAATTTTTAAATATAAGGGGTTGAGGAGAAAGCGTGAAGGAGGGGGTTGAGAGGGCACATACTTACTGCAACTTTGTGTGTGCATGGCATTTGTTGTTTTGGTCGTGCAGGTTCCAATGGATGTGTTGAAGTCGCAGGCTTAGTGATAGTGCATTGGGTGAAGGGTGGAAGGAATGCTCTGGGTCCGGTTCAGGCATTCATTTTCAGTAATTAATGAATGTATAACAGCCATTTCGTCAAGACGGACATATTATATTTTTTGAACGAAATCAAAACTGACTTTTCTGCCAAAATCCGGTCGGAATTTTTTGCTCTTGGGGGTCCGGCGTTCCCAAAACGTCGGACTCCCTACATGTATCTGGTCTATGTTTGAGACCAGATAAAAAAAATAATAATAATAATAATGTTTTTTTTTTTTTTTTTTGTATCTGGTCTCAAACATAGACCAAATACATGTAGGGGGTCCGGCGTTTTGGGAACGCCGGACCCCCAAGAGCAAAAAATTCCGACCAGATTTTGGCAAAAAAAGTCAGTTTTGATTTTGTTCAAAAAATATAATATGTCTGTTTTGACGAAATGGCTGTTGTATCAGTTTATCAGTGTTGAAGTTGTCTTTTGTTCCACATTGCTACTATTTTTTTTTTTTTTTTTTTTTTTTTTTTCCTTTTCTTTGTAAGTATCTAGATTTGAGCTTGAGTCTGTATTACAATAGCTCACTGGTGTGTTATCTGACTTGGGTCTGTTGCTGCCCGACTTTGATGTTGAGAGGTTAGATATTGTGATTCACAGCATAGAGCCACAACTCGCTAACTCAGTTGCTACCTGCTTGGAATCTACTGCTTCTCGATGGAGCCTGCTCCGCATGAGGGGTTTGGGTCATGAGACGATTCGGATCAGTCTAACCTTAAACAGAAAACGACGGTGATGGAGCAGAAAAAAAAAGCACCGGGACAACAGACTCTTCTACTACGACCACTGATATGAAACATTTTCAAGTGGTCGTTCATGCATCGCTTAAAAAAGAAGGAACCAACCCTCTTTTATTTTAAAAGATGAGAACGAAAACTCTTCCGAGATTTCAAAATCATTTGCCCATGTCTACTTCGCTGATGGTGCCCCCGTACGAGAGCACAACAACGGATATGTGGTCTGCAAACGCTGCTTTAGAGTCTATGCGTTCAACTCGGCACATGGGACAAACACTTTACAACAGCACAACTGTCGCAACGAGCCAGAAGGAGCAGGCCTTATACGCCTGTTCGCAACTTCTGACGAGCCCACAGTAGCTCAAGAAAACAGGATGGCCAAGAAGACCGCCATGTGGTGCTGCAAAGACTTGCGCCCTTTCAACATGGTAGGTGACCAGGGTTTTTTAGATATAATGCAGGAAGCGTACGACATGGGCGTAGCTACAGACAAGGCTATGCACATGGGAAAGGTGATGTTGGTCCCCAACACTGTCAAACGTTATGTTGTTGGGGCAACCTCATCCATTTGTGAGAAGGTGAAATAACTAGTGAAGGACCATTTCAATGACGATGCACATGTAGATTTTAAAACGTACATGTAGACTGACGAGGTTAAAAAAAACTCGTTTAGGTTCGTCACCATCCACTGTTTAGACATCGCTTTTAAATTGCATGCGCACAATTTACAGGTTAAAGCATTCCACGAGGATTCACACACCAGACCAGTTGTTCTCAAGGCATTTCACGAGTGTCTTTAAGAGTTCGGTTACAAAGATGCTGACAAATGTGTTATGTGTACAAACAGTGGGTCGAACACGGCTGCAGCATAAGGGATTCAGAAATTTTACAAGTGGATGGCCTGCTCTGATCATAAAATCGCAACTGTCCTGACAACATTGTTCAACAAAACGACAACGACAATAGATTGAGTTCGCTTCGCGCCATTTTATAAGTATCATAAATTTGCACAACACCTGTTTGAAATGATCGACAACTCCAAAGAGTTGGTGCCGTATTTCAAATGGATCAATCTACAGAAAAATTTGAGCAAAACCCTGAAGCAGAAGAATGCAACACAGTGGAATTCAGTGTTGATTTCCCTGAACAACATTTTGGACAGTTATGATGATGTGACAGCTGCCCTCGCAAGGCTTGCCAACACTAATCAGCAGACCAGCAAACAGTTCTTCATCACAAGAACCGACAAAAACTCGCTTACGGAGCTGGCACGGTTCTTGAAACGGTTTCAGACTATCACCGTTAGGTTGGAAAAATATATGGAACCGACGCTGCATCTTATCACATTCGAGCGCAGTGCTCTCTTGGAGTTCTGCAAACCGCGCAGTGAGTTATCCAACGGCGAGGATGCTGATGGTAAGAAGTTCACCATCCCATCAGACTGAGACGATATAATAGCCGTGAACATGTTGACCAAGAATGTGCTGCAGAAGAAATGGATCTTAGATGATCTCCATATTGTTGCAGTTTTGCTCGAACCTCGACAAAAGGACAGGTTGGACCGTTTTGGTTTATTGGAAGCCCAGGTTGAGCAAGGAAAAAGATGTTTGCAGAAGATTATGCACAGGATGAAAAACACAAGCATTGAGGCAAGTGAAGAACCTGTGGCAGCAGAAGGGAGGCGGCCAACGAAGCGTAGGAAGAAAGCGTCCGCGAGAGTGGTGACAAGCTAACATTGTGTACTACAAACGAAGATGATGAGGAGGACATGCCTATCGCTCGCATGAGGTCATTGACGTTGGCACAACGCATAAGAAAGGAGATGGAATTCTACTTCGGCTTGAAGCTGACAAAAGAAAAAAAGAAGAAGTTTGACATAATTGTGTGGTGAAAGGCGAAAAAGACTATCACAAAAAACGCAAAGGACTAACTGTTGCTCCCACCACTGCCAATCATGGTGAATGTTGCTCGTGCAATCCTGTGTATTCCTGCGTCGAGTTCTAAGAGCGAGTGCAATTTATCAAATGCAGGAAACATTGTCACGAAGAAAAAAACCAGCTCAATCCGTCTGTGGTGGATGATGCCCTCTTTGTTCACTCCAACTTCGATGTGGTCAGATGATGTGAGTGTTGCAGCTTTGCAGGCTTTGCAGGTTGTGAGTGTTGTAGTTTTGCAGATTGCTGGTTTCCGACCACGTGATGTGCGTGTTATAGCTTTGCAGGTTGACACTTTTCTCAAATTTTTTATTTCTTACATTTTCGATGAAGTAGACGATTTTTTTCATTTCCCATTGTTCTTCTAATGCAAGGGTGCATTTTAGATCTTTTTTTTTTTTTTTTTTTCCAAATTTCCATACTATTTCCTTGTGTGTGACAGTGTGTGAGATAGTGTGTGCGTGCGTGTGTGTATCACACTATGTGTTTATGAACTTCGTGTGTGTGTGTGTATGACGATTGTTGCATTCGCACCAATTTTGCATCTGCTACAGAGGTTGCATATGCTGCTGCAGCAGCAAATGCACCAGATGCGACTACTGCTGCAGTTGCACCAGCAACGACACCAGATGTAACAACTGCTACACTTGCGACAGTAGCTGCAACAACTTTCATTATTGGAATATATATATACATATATATATATATATATACACATATATATATGTACATATGTATACATATATACTAGGCTACCAGTCGAGTCGTTCGGGCCCCGGGTGGCGAGCCCATGCAAGGACAAAGGACAGTCCCAGCAAAAAAAAAAAAAAAAAAAAAAACTTCCAAAAAACTCCGAAAACAAACTATGTTATGTAGAAAAATAAACTTAACAACTTTTGCCCAAGGGTCCCATCGAAATTGCTTACAAAATTTCAAATTAAAAATAAAATTAAAAAATATTTATATTATGTATTTATTTTTTTGCCCGGCCGGGCAACTGACCCCGGGCCACTCTGGTAGCCTAGTATATATATATATATTACCCCGGCCAGGGCCCAAAGGTTGTCACAAACAGTTAGAGTCGGTTGGGGGCTTTAAGGGCAGTTAGATCAGTTAGGGGGAGTTGGGGGCAGTTAGGGGCAGTTAGGGGAGGGTGGGTTACATGTGCGGGCCAATTATGGCTGGGTGCATACAATTCTGGGTAGGTACGGGTGGGTATGGGTAAGGAAAATTTGGGCTGGGTATGGTATGGGTGGTTAACAAATGGTGTGGGTCCAGTTAGCCATGGTTGGTTTATAAAAAAAAAAATTCAAAGGACAGGTATGGGCAATTACTGTCTGAAGAGGTTCAAGTACGGGCAGGTACGGGTACACGTTTTTTTTTTTCGGATCAGTTGGAGATAGGTAAAGGTCCGGTAGGCCAAGTACACAGTGGTTATGGTTGGTTGGTTTTCAAAAAGTGTGTGGTTAGTTTAGGTACAGGTATTCCTAAAAATGTTGGTTGTAAACAGGCTAGCGATGAGAGGAAACTTCTCATCTTGGTCATCTAAACTGTGCTTAATATAACACTTCAATAGATGTTGCACCACTCAGTTTATCTGTCCAGCTTGCCCGTTGGCTTCAGAATGCTTCCAGAAGTCATCTAGAGTTGGTTTTCTATCTGTTCTGCAACCTTCTTCCACATTTCACTTGTGAAACGGACATCTCTGTCACTAACGATAGTCTTTGGTAGTCCAAAGTCACCCACCTAGTTATCCATAAATAATTTGATGGCGTGCTCAGTCCGTGCAGTCTCCGACATGTCAATCAGTCTAACAAACTTAGTAAACCTATCAACTATAACGAAGATATGTCTCTTGTCACTCTTCCCGGTGATAAGGGTATCCATGAAATCCATGGAGACACTCTATCATAGGCCAGCAGGTACGGGCAAGCGATTGAGTAACCCAAGCGGAGCTTGAGTTCGTGGCTTGTCCCGCTGATAGACTTGACGAGTTTATATATAATGCTTGGTTTCGCCTAGCCCACCAGGCCACCAAAATCGTTGTACCAGATTTGCCTAGTCCTTTTGTAGCCAAAATATCCAATTGCATTTAATTTATGACACTCTCCTAAAAATAAACTACAACATAAAAAAATTTCAGAATTAAATAATCATTCTATTGTACAATTTCATTCTAAATTTGAAATTTTCATTCCATCTTTAATAAATTCATTCCAATTTTAAAATTTTCCGTCTTGTTTGAAATTTTTCCTTCCAAGAATGGGGTATCCCTTCTTATTTGAACCGATGCTCGAGATGGAATGAAAGTTTGAATGAGTTCATGAAATATTTTAATTGGACTGTTATGCTAAGTAAGGATTTTCAGTCATAAATATGTTAATCCAATCTAAATAAGAAAATATTTGTTTTCGTAGAATGAAAGTTTAATTAAAGCATTTTGTAAACTCATCGAGACTTTCATTCCATCTTGAACAAATAGATGTAGTTGGAAGGGAAAACTCATATTTAGACGGGAACTTATCAAATAAAACTGGAAATTTTAGAATTGGATGAACATTGGAATGATCATTTATAAATACGAAGGATTTTTTTTTTTTATGGAATGTTTTTTTCAACTTTCATTTCTCGTGGGAATTTTTCCGTTGTACGCAAAATCTCACTAGATGGAACTACTAATCTCTTAAACCCTGCTTTTTCAAGAAAGAATTAACTCATTCACCATCCCAAACTCATCAAATGTGGCATTGTCTTGGACCTGAAGTTTGCGTAACCCCAGATTGACGGGGAAAATCTCACAGGGTCTTCCTTGTAGGCTTCCACCATCGACCGAGTTACATTGTGAGATAATCCAAACTCGGTTATTAGCGCACCTAGGTAGTTTGTCCTTCGTGACAATGCATCAACAACCTTGTTGTAGTCTCCCTTCACATAATCGAGCTTTAAATCCTATTGGTCTATGACCTCAATCCAGCGTTTGAGTGCATCAGAAAGGACAGGTTGTGTCTTAATCCACTTGAGTGTCTGATGGTGATTTCTCAAGTAGAAGAACCTTCTCAACAAATAATGTCTCCAGTGGTTGTTCGATGCCAGAACAACGTTGGCTGGTGTTAGGGCTTTGCCCTGTAACCTGTTGATGCAGGAGTGTGAGGCCTGGTAGAGAGATTTGGGGATGCTTTGGGGTGGGCATCCCAAGGGACAACCAAAGATTGTTCTGGGACGACGTTGGTCGGAGCTGGGGTGAGTCGTGTTGCCGTGTAACCCAGCAATGTGGGGGCGTGGAGCCTGGAAAAGCTCAGCAGGGAGTAAGATTGTGTTGGAAAGTTTTAAAAGGGTTTGTAAGGGATCTTGAGGGTTATGAGCATTTGTAGTACCTTTGTGGCAGCCTATGCATGAGTAGTTTTTTAATAGGTCATTAGATATTTATGATCACACTGTTCTCAGCCGAAGTCGGGTAATGACCCCGATATCTCAAATGATCTTAAATGTTATCAAATGATCTGTACGATTCGATATGGGACGCTGGGTCCGGTTCCCAGCACGTGTTACTCCCCACGAATAGATTGGAACACTTGTTTAAACAAAAAATAAAAAAAATTGTGTTCTTCACAGTGATTACATTGAGACCTTTATAATCTATATGTCCGATTTTGGATTCAACGCCGGTTCCGCATTGAATTGTTCAACGCGCGTTAAATCCACATTGAACCCCCGTTGAAACGCCCGTTGGACGGGTGAAAACAGGTTCCGTAAAAAAAGGGTTATAGGCACGATCACCAGCCCGTACGTACGGAGGTCCCCGGGCAGACCTCCGTACGTACGGGTGGTCGGGGTCCCGTACGGGGTCCGAACCCGATGGTGTTCGGCCCCCACCAAAAATTATTTCGGGGCCTAAAAATAATTATTTTTTTCGGAATTGTTTTTTGTGAGTTTTCTATCACGTGAGGTACATGCCTGTAAATTTTCAAGTCATTTGGCTAAGCCAAATAAGAACTACAAATCGCCAAAGATGGCTGTGTCAAAACGTGCC